TCTTTTTTTGATGCAACGTATGTACGTACGTACGTACGTACAGTACATAAATACGTGAGTATAAAACATAAACCGGTTAAGCCATGTTTATATTTATTGTGTAAATAAGTATTTATGAATTGTTATTCATAAACATTCGGAATGTAACCTTATTGTACTCTATAAGATAGCTTTAAGTCTGCAACTTTGTTATCACATGAATAATTATACAAAATGATACGCAAATTAACAAAGTAAAAAAGGAAAATGTATACAATATGTCCGTACGTACGTACATACGTACTAGGTTGATGCACCAGAATGTTATAATAAAATAATATAAAATGAATAAAATAGCTTCTGGAACTGTGTGTCAGGTCTGTAAATCATAATACATAATAGATTGTGTTAGCGCAGTAGATAAAGTAAAGAAAAAACATCCGGACTAGTGTACCACCAATTTGATAAAGTAAAAAGGCATCCGGAAAATACACACCAGGTTGGTGTGTTGCAATACTAGACGGTGCTAGTTCCACAATGCTAGATGGTTTCAACGCAATTGATAAAATAAAGAAGCATCCGGAAAATGTGAACCAAGTTGGTTTAACACAATTGATAAAGTAAAAAAGTGTCCGGAAAATGTGTACGCACGTATGTACGTATGTACCAGGTCGGTGCGCCACAATACTAGAGTTACGTATTAGCTTGATGTAGTTAATGATAATATAAAAGAACAAACCAAACTAAGCAAACATTTGACTAAACGTTGTTTATGAATTGTTTTGTATAGTGTATTTTCTTTATCTTGCTATTTTTCTTCGTACTTTCACTCGTTAATTTTCTTTGTTACGCCAAGAGAGCCGAACCTAATTCTTGCTCTATTTCGACTTCTACTTTAGGAATTTACCGAAATGGAAAAATTAAAAAGATGTGAAACAAGCATTATAATCCATCCGATTGCTGTTGATTCTTGAATTTTTATTGGCTGCGCAACATTGTATGTCCAGAGCTTATAATTATCGTTTGTCAAATATAGTCATGCATCAAATACGTAACTTCTGTCACGTGCGCAGAAAGATATCCTTTTTCAAAGTTACATTTTTGATTTATTGCTATTTAATACATCAAAAACATAGCTTCGATATCACTTTACTCGTCCGTTAGTGTCCTCCGTTACGTCACTTTACTCGTCCGTTAGTGTCCTCCGTTACGCTTCGGACAATGAAAACAAAATTTCTTTAAGTTTCGTCAACTGTTTAATCACAAACAACAAGTAGTAAATTTATATAATTAACAACTAATTGTCCGGAGCGTACCTAATGGACGAGTAAGTGCATCAAAAGTTACGATGTTGATGCATAATAGTGATAAAAATCAAGAACATAACTTTGAAAAGGATGTCTGTCCACCACGTGGCTAAAGCTACGTTTTGATGCATGACTATATTCGAATTCGTTGGTGATTTTTCATATGATTATATAATATTTTCGTATACCGTTGTAACTATCGGGTTGGGAGAGCGTCAGTTTATATAAAGCCGGGTTAGATCAGGATAGTCAACTAAAAGGGA